CAGCGTCCTCCATGTCACCTTGTTTAGCCTCGAGTATGATCGCGTTTGAGAGCTCCGGACTATGGTTCGGCCCTACACCAGGTCCTACGCAGTGTCCAAGAACACCATGTTGTTCTCTTATGCAGCATTCTGGATGTAACTAGGACCAACGAGCGGCGAATCAACCTGTGGTTGAGATGGTTAGGTGGACAGTGGTATCCTCAACCCATCAGGGTTCAAATCCTGGTGTTCGCATTAGTACTGGATTTATTTCGGGATTTCCGGCGATGCGCTTTTAATGGGAGGAGACGTTTCCGTCGACGACGAGGCGCCTACGGTGACTTCGTAAATCTCAAGATGATATGCCGGCTCAGTCTCTCGAAGGTGCTCATAGGGGTAGGGTGTGCGTGTGTGATGCTAAAAAAAAGGACCAACGAGCATGTCCGACAGATCCCAAAATGGTTTCTTGTATGCATATTGATCACACCCTCCTTCTGTTTCTGCGACTGCGCCCGTGCTTGGCCTGTTTAATCCTGGACGGCGAATGCTATTTATCGCACTCAGCGATCGGCGAATGCTATGTATCGCGTCGAGGGAAAAGTGATGGGCCAGCCCATTTTCACGTATGAATTGTTGAAAAAACAGGGAATGAAAGAGAGCATCCAGGGAATCGAACTCTGGTCTCCACGGTGACGACAGTCGCGACTAACTACTCCGGCCGCGTGGTGGTACTGCTGGTAGGATTGCAACCTACTAGAGGTTTTCCCCTTTTTTTTAGTTTTCTTTTCTCTTTTCTAATTCGTTTTTTTCTTTTTTGGTCGTTTTCTTTTCCTTCTTTTCTTTATTTTCTTTCTTCTTCTCCGGAATTTTTCATTTTTTTTTTCAGTTTTTTCATTTTCCTTTTTCTTTGTTTTTTGTTTCTTTTTTGTTTTTCATTTTTGTGGTTTTTTTGTTTTCATTCTATATTCTTATATGCATGGTCAACATTTTTTAAATACTTGTTCAACATTTTTCAAATGCATGATCAACATTTGTTTTCACATACTTTGTTCAACATATTTTTAAATACTTGTTCTGCATTTTTCAAATACATGTTCGACATTTTTCGACTAATTGTTCAACGTTTTTCATATACATGATCAACATCTTTTCAAATACTTGTTTAATATTTTTCAAATACTCGTTCAACATTTTTAAATACTTGTTCAAAAATTTTCATATACCTGTTCAACATATTCAATACTTATTCAACATTTTTCAAATACATGTTCAATATTTGTTTCAAATACTTATTCAACATTTTTAAATAGTTGTTCAACATTTTTCAAATTCTTGGTCAATATTTTTCAATCCCTGTTCAGCATTTTTTCAAGTGTGTTTTTGGGAGAGTGTTTTTGTAATATATGTATTTAAAATATTTCAAAGTATAAACAAAAGTAAAAAAGAAAGCAAAAAAGAAAACACTTGAAGAAAAACGAAACAGGAAACAGACAACACTTACACGCGCACGTGGGCCGGCCCATATGCTCGCTGGCTTCAACGAGTCGGAACGCTCGACTCACTGAACGCGATGAATAGTGATGCCCAGCACGGTCGGCCAGTCGCATTGTCCGCCGCCACCCCCATCCCTTGGAAACATGCACTTATTGACTGCCATCTGGCCAAATGTGTTTGGGCTGGGCCATGGTAGATGAAGAATTAGTCCAGCATATGGTGACCATCAAGACTGATGAAGCTCGACTTTGGCTAGTGGAACTACAGGAATCAGCGAATGAAGAACAGTTCATCAAAGCAATGTAACTCTCTGGTCTATATGGTGGGCTTGAAGGAAAGCTATACACGAGCAGCAGTACCAGTCGCCGCACTCGGTGGTGTGCTTTATTAACAAATACTCCCTCTGTTCTAAATTACTCGTTGCAAAAATGAATGTATCTAGAACTAAATTACATTTAAATACATCCATACTTGTGACAAGTAATTCGGAACGGAGGGAGTATATCTCTGATCTTGAGGTCGTACCAATGAGGCACAGGCCAGTGAACCGGTCGAGCCAGGAGCCTTCTAGGCAGCGGACGAACTGGTGGACTGCACCTTCAGCAGGCTGGGCAAAGGTTCATGTGGTCTGAAAGTGGTGCAGTCGGGATGGTTTGCCGTGATTATACTGGTCTTTTTCTGGGCACGTCAGCGGTGGCGATGCAAGATTTAATTAACCCAGAGACGTTAGAAGCAATGGCTTGCAGCGAAGGACTGTCCTTGGCGCTCGATTTGAATCTAGAGAGAGTTCAGATTGCTACAGATTATGCTGCGGCTGTTAAACACACTGAAGAACCATATTCATCACGGCATCTCCAGCCGTTCGGCCCCCCAGGGCGTCTAAATAGGGCGGTCTGGGGGTGTGCCGGCCTAGCTTCCAGTCACGCCCTCAAGCGCCGGCCCCAGGATGCGGGAAATTTAAACTTGGTCGTTCCCGCTCTTAAAAAACGTCACAAATCTGGCGATTGGACGTAGTCTGGCGTTACAAAAAACAGAGCGCCGCACGCCGCAAGTTCGCGTGCGCAATGATTCACTCGGCGGGGTCGGCTCCAGGCTTTGGCGAAGTCGGCGTGCGCGGGCTTGGCGGTGTCGGAACTGCTTCGGTGCTGGGCTGTGTCGGCGCGGCTTCGGCACTGCTGGGCGGCGATGTAGAGGCGTCGTTCGGGCTTGGCCTCCGTGTGGTCGTGGGCGCGGGAGCGTGCGTCGTTGGCGTCGTCGGCGTTGCCGTCTGCATCTGGTTCAGGATGAGGCCGCGCTCCGCCATGTATCACGCCCTGAGCTGCTCGTCACTGCTCTGGAGCATGTCCGCCCCGCCCATCAAAAAAGCCATGTCAGTGTTCCTCTTCTTCGCGGCGACGTTCGTCCGGAGCAGGTCGAGCTTGATGGCGCTGTTCTTCATCAGCGACGACCACCGCGCCTCGGTCTTCTCTTCACGTAGGACGGCCCGGGCCTGGGCGTCGGCGAGGCAATGCTCGATGGACTCCTGCACTCGCGCGGTTGCCGCGTCGGCGTTTTTCCCCTTCTTTGCCAATTTGTGGCCGTCCGGCCGCCCCTCTGACGCGTCCGGAGGCGTCGCGTCCGGCTTGTATGTCTCCTTGGCCTTGTCGAGGGTACGACGGACTTCCGCCCACTTCTCGCACTTATTAATGCGCTTGTAGACGTGGAGGTGCTTGAAGTCGGCGTCTTGGTTGTCGCGCCGATACATGGTGAACATACGCAGCAGCTGCGCGGAGGAACAAACAGTTGGCGGGCGACGGGCGTTGACGACGAATAGATGCGGGCGAACGGCGTGCGTACCTGATCCTCAACGCTGGCGCCGCTCTCCAGGCGAGCCACGACCTCCTCGACGATTCCATGCCATTTGTTGCACGCCAACTGGATACGCCCCCAATGGTGCACCATCGCCTTGGAGCCGCGCTGCATGTAGACGCCTTTGAAGTACGGGTCGACGAGCTTCCGCTCGTCGAACTCAGCCTTGATGTGGTCCCAGTACGTCTCGAAGTTCTGGTTCGTGCCGGTGGTCGGGTCGAGGCAGACGACTTTCCATGCTTCGGCGAGACATTCCTCCTCCTTGGATGTCCACTTGATGCGCGTTTCGCCTGTCCTAGCCGCCCGCTTCTTCTTCTGGCGCCCCTTCGTGGGATAAGGAGCTGGCTCCTCCTCCTCCTCGTCCTCGTCCTCCTCCTCGGGTTCATACGCTTCGTGCGCGTCCTCGCCGTAGACGTAGCCGAGTTCGGCCTCCATGTCGTCGCTGAGATCCACTACCTCGTCCTGGGTGGCGAACCCGGGAGACGCGGCGGCCGCGGTCGATCCTGTCGCGATGATGTCGTCCATGTCGGCTCTTGTGTCGTCCGTGTCGCCGAGGTGCGAGAAGGGCAGCGGCCCACGGCGGAGATGGGGCGTCGGTGTGGACGCGTAGGCGGCGGGCGGCGAGTAGTTGTATGGAGGGTACTGCACGCCGACGAAGGCGGACGAGGGGTGCGCGTCGCGGGATGGCCATGGGGGAAGGTCACGTTTGGGTTGAACCCCCCGTGCGCGTCGCCGTCGGTGTAGCCGGGCGACGACGATCCCCATGGAGATCCGACGCCTTGCTGTCCCCAGGACGCGTACTGAGCGTGGCTGACGACGGGTGGATTTATCATCCCCGCGTGGTCGACCGATGAGGAAGACGCCGCCGCACGCGCCGCGTTGTCGCAGGCCTTCTTGGCAATGACCCTGTTTCGCCGGTCGGTGGTGACTGGACTGCGTCGCTGAATTTCCACCCTCCATTCGGCGTTTGACATGCCCGGTGGCTTTGATGACGGCGCCCTCGGCTTTCTCTGCTTCGGCTAGGCCACGGTGCCAATCATGGTTGCCGCCGCGCGCGGCATGGCGTCAAGAAACGTCGGCGCGGTAAAATCGCTTGGAGAGGGCCTATTGAGGGCGCGGCTGAAGATGGCCTCAGGTCCAAACAAAAGTGATCGTGGTGAGATTAAGACGAAGTTGCAGATGTTTCCATCTTCAAAAATTATCTACGAGACCCGTGAATGTAATCGCGAAGCACATACGCTCGCAAAAGCTGCTGCTACACATTAGATTTTGGTCGCCATCTTTGGCTTACTAGTACACCGGCCGGACCTCATTTGTATCCCATATGACTATCGATTTTGAATAAAGCAGCTTTTACCCCTAAAAAAGGTCCCTAACTAGAGTGCGCCGCGGAGATGGTTGCCGAGTTGGATTCTTCATCTCAACTGATTCAAATCGATCTTCCTCGTTGGTCACCAAAGGTAAGCCGATCTTCCTTATCAATTAAGACTAGGATTCCCACAGCTCCCTCCACAAACCCATATTCCAGGTCAGAAATCGCTGGATTAGCGGCAATGGGCAGCAGGCTCGAGAAGACTCGCTCCTCTTCGTCGTCTAAACGGCGACGGCGGCGGAACTATGATTGCGCGGAGAGCAGCCGGAAACGGCGGCGGCGGAGTTCTGATTGCGCTGAGAGTCCCATGACTCGGCGCAAGCAGCACCTTTATTTGGCGATGGATGACTGGGAGGAGGGCTATCACATATATACAAGCTCGACGCCGATGAGATCTACTCAGGAGGTTTGCACGAGCTTCCCCAGCCGGCCGCCGCCCGGATATACTCGTCGGTCCATGGCCCCAAGGATTTCGCTGCTCTGGGTACCAACATCTTTGTCACCCTCAACCTTCGTTACTACTTCGACGACGACGATGACGCTCCCGCTCCCCCAACCATCGTCTACAACACCAAGACTGAAGCCCTCCGCATGGGCCCACCTCTCGAATGCAGATTTTGTGAGCTTATGCATCCGGGCCTTACTATCCTAGCACTCTAATGTTATTTTAAGATCTGTGCTACACAACTATCTTATTACATGAAATTTTCTTTTTTTTGTTCCTCTCATATAAAACATGTCTTGAACTTCAAACTTTGCAGTACAACATAACTTTGTAACTAGAATGTGAGATAAAACTTTTAGATTTTTTTGTCCGACATAAATATGAAAAATAAGATTATTTTAATCAAACAAATCTCATTTTGTATATTTATGCTGGACCAAAAAATCTATAAGTTTATCCCACATTTTACATAGAAAGCTTTGTTGTGCTGCAAAGTTGAAGTACAAATATATGTTCTATATGAGATAAACAAAAAAGAGAAAATTATTTGCATGAATCATGATGCAGGAATGAGTGGTTGGATAAGGAGTACCCGGATGCATAGGCTCTAAAACATGTTTTCACCCGCCTCTCCCGTCCGGGATCCCTGCCTTCTGGGCCGCCATGGCCGCCGGTGAAAAGCTATATGCCTCGACAACCGAGGTGCTCGGCTTGCACGCCTTGTTGTGGGCTCCCAGCAGCCATCCATGGAACCTACGGGGTGATGAGATGGACTGGTCATGGAAGAGCGAGCCATCACTGCCGTCGTGCAGTGGGCTGGACGTCGTCGCCTATGCGTTGCACCCGGACGGGCGCACCATCTTCGTGTCCACCGCCTCCGCTACCCATTCCTTCGACACCGGCAATGGCCTCTGGAAGGAGCTTGGGGACTGGGTGTTGCCTGCCGTTCAGAGGACAAGCCTACTTCGACGACAGCCTGGATGCATGGGTCGGGATTCATCACGAGGGCGAAGGGCACATTTGCTGCTGCCCGGTCGCCTCGCACAGCGCCGCCGCCAGCCGGCCGCCGAAGCCGGACTGCAGGATGCTCAAGGAGAAGCTGTTCCGCCGCAACAATGAGGAGCCGTGGATGGGTGGCGGCCGGCACATGGATGCCACTCTCACCTACATGGGCCACAACAAATTTTGCCTCGTCGAGAACATCTTGCGGCACGAGAAAGTTGTCGACAGCATGCTCCATCTCACCTTGTTTGGCCTCAAGTATGATCGCGAGGGAGAGCTCCGGACAAAAGCTCGGCCCTGCACCAGGTCCTATCCGGTGTCCAAGAACACCATGCTGTTCTCTCATGCAGCATTCTGGATGTAACTAATTAGGACCTAAGTCACCTAACAACAGCTGCTGGTTCCTCTTGTAGTATGCATATTGATCGCATCGTACCCTCCTTCAAAACTCCTCTTTGTTTTTTACCAAAGCAGCATTTTACATGTTCTAGATGGATGCCATCACACTCAAAATGCAGTTGCAGAAGGGTGTGGTCTCACATGCATAAAAGAGGAACCAGTTGTTTGCTGTTGATGCCAGTTCTCTTTCTCATGCATTTTGTTCTTTTTCATGTTGCATGTACCGGCCGGTGCTTCCATGGAAACCACAATGGTGTAATTTATCAGGCTTTTTATGTGGATTAATCTTCAGTTTGTTCGAGTTTAGTTTGATGCCTCGACTCATGACTTTTTGTTTGTGTAGTGGTGTTCGTTTCATCAGCAACTCATTCTGGCTTCCCTGATTTATTAATTTTATTTGGTTGAATGTAAATTCTAGTTTAAAAATTTTTGGCTGCTATTTCACCAAAGCCAAGTTTGGCTTTAAAATGAACGAAAAACATAATCTTGCGAGAACCAAAATTGTGGGCTTGGGAAAATGGTTTGACCAGACCACAGTATGGTTCCTCTTGTATGCCCATCATCTCATAATTGGTGTTCTGGATGTAGTAGTTAGAACCTAATAGCATCTTCAACAGATCTCAAAATGGTTCCTCTTGTATGCATATTGACCAGACCACACCCTCCTTCTGTAACTGTATATTTTGTTCCTCTTGTAATTAGATCTCTAGATTTCATTACTCAAAATGCGGTTATAGAAGGAGGATATGGTACACATTTGAGATGCTGGACAACACAGCGTCCGTGCTCAACGCCGCCACCACGTCAGGAACTGCCCTCGCCCCGGGTGTCCGCGCCGTCCTTGCCACGCGTGGCTGTGCTGTCTCGGGGAGACCTCGGCCCATCCCGGCGAGCTGCCCTAGCTCCGGTGTCCACGCAATCCTCGCCCCAGTGACTGCCATCTTGAGGACACCTCGGCCCATCCCAAATAGCAAACCATCACAAATGAGCAGCGTGCTTAAATATAAGATGGCAGGAACAAAATCACTTTAATTGCTTTGTTCATGTTTATCTCTTGTTAGCATTCCAAATTTCTTATCTGGAAACATCACTGAAATCATGGAGTCCAATATCATTCTTGACTACTCCCTCCGTTCCCAAATACTTGTCTTTTTAGAGATTTCAACAAGTGACTACATACGGAGCAAAATGAGCGAATCTACACTCTAAAATATGTCTACATGCATCCGTATGTTGTGTCCATTTAACATGCCTAAAAAGACAAATATTTGGGAACGGAGGGAGCAGAAATTAGTGGAGTTGTAGTTTCAGTGGCACAACTGTTGGGTTTCGTAGTAATTTCAAAAAATTTCCTACGCACACGCAAGATCATGGTGATGCATAGCAACCAGAGGGGAGAGTGTGATCTACGTACCCTTGTAGATCGACAATGGAAGCGTTAACTTGGTTGATGTAGTCGTATGTCTCCACGGCCCGACCGATCAAGCACCGAAACTACGGCGTCTCCGAGTTCTAGCACACGTTCAGCTCGATGACGATCCCCGGACTCCGATCCAGCAAAGTGTCGGGGAAGAGTTCCGTCAGCACGACGGCGTGGTGACGATCTTGATGTTCTACCGTCGCAGGGCTTCGCCTAAGCACGGCTACAATATTATCGAGGACTATGGTGGAAGGGGGCACCGCACACGGCTAAGAATTTGATCACGTGGATCAACTTGTG